TTCTGTTCTGACTACAAAACTAATGGCACATCCAAACACTGGAAATTTATGGGATGGGTATACCGAACCTGAGACTCATCTTTCAACTCAACCTGCAACTTGGGACCCAACCGGAATGATGATTATTACTTTTCCATTGACTTTTGAAAGTACCCTTTAGAAAGGCTCCAGGTCTTAAGACACCACTTGCTTGGCCACATTTCTGCAGCTCAGCCCCCGGCCAACTATTTCTCCACTTAGTGACATGTTGTGCTGATTTATTGTTGCTTCCCACTAACCCCCCCCCCCACTCTCCCATCCTGGTGTAAACAACTATCCCTCAGAGATCGGACATGAAAAGAGAGCCTGGCGGCTTCCTTCCCACTTAGAAATGAGTGCAGGAATCGATTTTCAATAAGTCTTGAAAGGTTAATAATTCTGGCGATAAATGAAACTCGGCCAATGGACAAACAATGCAGCTGGCAACAGGCGGCTAAAGCAGATATTATTGCCACTTTCAGAAACCAACCAAGCTGCTGAGTGTTCCTCTGCAGGAACTGGACTTTTAGCCACACTTGCATGACACGGTTATTTCACAATTGCCTGGGCAGCCTCTGCCGCTGTGCGGCTGCCATGCCAACTTCTATATGAAGTTCCAAATTCAAGTGTTGTCATACAGAACAGATATAATGGGCTGTATCCAATGTTTCCCATCTTCCGCTAGGGTCTTTAAGCTCCCAAATTCTAGTTCAGCACTCTAGCCACTATCACACCCTGGTTAACATCATGCCCTCCAACATTTCTCCAACGAAAATGGGGAAGTTATACAGTGGTACCTCTGGTTATGTACTTAATTCGTTCCGGAGGTCCGTTCTTAACCTGAAACCGTTCTTAACCTGAAGCACCACTTTAGCTAATGGGGCCTCCTTTCAGTTCTCATCCTGAAGCTAAGTTCTTAACCCGAGGTACTATTTCTGGGTTAGCGGAGTCTGTAACCTGAAGCGTCTGTAACCTGAAGCATATGTAACCCAAGGTACCACTGTACTGGGTACCAGGCCAAGGGGGTTGCCCCAGCTTTGCCATAGTGCATGCACAGAATAGAAGGTGAGGGGCAGGGGATGCTGAACGTTGGCCTTGCCAAAGACCGAAATCCATCCCTGCTAAGGGAGGGATGTCCCTCAGCAGCCAACGAGTTTGGATTTGATATCCCGCTTTATCACTACCTAAAGGAGTCTCAAAGCGGCTAACATTCTCCTTTCCCTTCCTCCCCCACAACAAACACTCTGTGAGGTGAGTGGGGCTGTCAGACTTCAGAGTAGTGTGACTGGCCCAAGGTCACCCAGCAGCTGCATGTGGAGGAGCGGGGAATCGAACCCGGTTCACCAGATTACGAGTCTATCGCTCTTAACCACTACACCACACTGGCTCTCATAATAACGAGTGGTTATATTACATTATGGCCTGTGAGCACCCCAGTTGGAGAACAGCCTTTACTGAAGGTGTCATGGGCTTTGAAGATTCTCAAACTCAGAATGAAAGGGAGAAACGTGCTAAGAGGAAGGCACACTTGGGAAACCCTCACTGTGATCAACTCCTCAACTCCTGCCCAGAAAGTTATGTCCTCACTGTGGAAGGACGTGTGGATCCAGACTTGGCCTCCCAGACTCACTGTTAAGACCCTGTTCATGGAAGACAACCTTACTCAGCTATGAGTGATCGAAGAAGAAGAAGAAGACATTATAGAATGCCTGTTGGGAAAAGCATCATGGAAAACTGGGAGTGGGAAACACTGAAAACATTGGCTGCTTCCGTTTCAAGAGAATGGGGTGCAAATTCTATTACATACAATGGAATTTCAAGGAACTTGCCCCTCTGAAAGGAGAAGTGCTCCAGATCATTTGCCCGTGTTAGGTGCACAGAAAACAGTAGATCTCCACTGATTGTTGCAACGTTTTCCTAATCATTTTTGTATTTTTAAAAAAGATTACTGCACACTAAACTTAGGAGGTTTTATCATCTTACAAGGGGCGCGGCTGTAACTATCATAAAGGGACCCTGCACTGAATTTTTGAATATGCTATCAATGAGATTTCTCATCGTGATCAGTTGTAAAAGCTGCCGCAGGCTCCCATTTCTCATTGGGATCCCTAAGCCATCCATCTCATGTAGGGACAACAAATGAGTCACTGTACTCTGAGAAATTTAGAAGCTGAGAGAAAGTGTGGGCTAGCATTTAGTCAATAAGTCTAAGAGTTGAAGGGTCCACTCAGCCATTAAGCTTGCTAGGTGATTTGGGGGCCAGTTATGGCTTCTCAGCCTAACTTGTTCCCCTAAGGTTTGGCTGATCTTTACTAAGGACTGAGTATTTAGTGTGACAGGTCCTGTCAGGTGGAACTCCCTGCTAGCAGAAGTTTGGGAGGAATCATCCCTGCTTTCTTTTAGCTGTCCCCTAAGAGCTCTGTTGGGACACAGGTGGCACTGTGGGTTAAACCACAGAGCCTAGGACTTGCCGATCAGAAGGTTGGCGGTTCGAATCCCTGCAACGGGGTGAGCTCCGGTTGCTCAGTCCCTGCTCCTACCAACCTAGCAGTTCGAAAGCACGTCAAAGTGCAAGTAGATAAATTGGTACCGCTCCGGCGGGAAGGTAAACGGCGTTTCCGTGCGCTGCTCTGGTTCGCCAGAAGCGGCTTAGTCATGCTGGCCACATGACCCGGAAGCTGTACGCCGGCTCCCCCAGCCAATAAAGCGAGATGAGCGCCGCAAACCCAGAGTCGGCCACGACTGGACCTAATGGTCAGGGGTCCCTTTACCTTTACCTTTAAGAGCCCTGTTACTCAGAAAGGAGTTTGCAATGTGAATTTCTTTCTTGATTGGTGTTTTATTTATCTTACTGCGATTTTGCACGTTGCCAACTGCCTTGCTGTATTACTATGAAACTGCAGTCTACAAATATTTCAATAAATGCATAAATGAATAACCTTTCCCAAAGGCTGTTGTATTTCCCATCTTCTTCTCTTTCCATGTCGTCCCCGCACACCTGCAAGGAACTAAGCCGAGGGCAGGTAGCTCTAACTACTGAATCACACCAATTCAAAAGCTCAGAGAAGCATTCTGAACTGGAGTTTAGTGACAAATGGCATATCCTGAAAAGGAGCACATCTGCCACTGGCAGAAGAGGAAGGGGAGGCTGCAATGGAGTAAGACACCTGAAGTGTATCGACAGTCATATTTCTTCCAATGGTTTCAAGTGTCATCAAACCTACTGCCTTTAACTGAATGCCAAATCTGTTTTTAAGGGAGAAAAGCTCAGGAGCGAAACAGAAACAGAACAAAGGCCAGCCCACAATCAAAGGCTAATTACCGTGGGGTTTCATCATTAAACAGAAGGCATTATTTATTGTCAAAGGCTGCTGGGAAATGAAAGGCGAAGGCTAATTTATTTGTGCAAAAATGGCTTTGAATATTTTTTTCCTTTTTTTAAGCCAACAAGCAATGCTGCCTTATAGAGGAGGCCTGGCACGTGCCTCTTTATGCTTCTACAAGCTGCAGTCAAATTAAATTGCTTGTCAAAAGTTCCTCGGTCGTATTTAAATATGGAAAAAAACCACCAGAAGAAATGCAAAGTGGGGAGGGGGGAGGGGAACCCTCGTGAGCAAGTTGCGAAAGAATAATGGGCCAGAAAGAGATGCCTACGATTCTTAAAAGATGCAATTGCATAGGTACTAGGAGACTCGAGTTGTTTAACTGTCACGTAAATCTGAAAAGTTGCCATCCATTTCTTACAAGGATGCAGTATCAGCCGGGGACCTGAGGGGAGCCCATCTAATCCAACAACCTGTTCTCAGAGAGGCCAACAAGATGCCTCCGGCAAACCCACAAACAGGCCTTTGCTGCAGTGGCTCCCCATCATCTGCTGCCCAGAAGCACAGTGCCTCTGATGCTGGCAGCTGTACAGTGTACTGGGAGCCCTGCATATATACTATTCCTCCAGGATAGCCAGCCATTCAGCAGATGCCAGCAAGCCGGAACTGCTCTCCTGCTCTGGGTTCAGTGCCTGATTTAGGACAGTGTAGGCGGTTCCCTTGCACAGGGCGATGAGCCAGAGGGGGCAAAATAATAATGATAATAGCTATATTTATATGGCTACCTCCCGAGAGGATCCATAAAAGGGCGACTGTACCAAAAGGCAATCTTGTGAAAATCATTTGCCCTTAAATCTGCAGGAATTGATTGATACTGATACACTGGAAGGACAAAAACATGGTCCCCTTTGATAGATGGATGGACGACATGACAATTCTTGCAACCCATGAATGGACTGTTTACAGGCAAAGATTATGGATGGACGAATTTAATTATACTTGGGACGTATTTATCGAAACCATAGTGACCCACAAACCAATGTATACTCAAGGGAAATAGTAAGTTTATCTACTTGCATATATACTACAGTCATACCTCATGTTACGTTGATACTTTTTTCAGGTTGCGTCCCGTGACGACCCGGAAGTACCGGAAAGGGTTACTACTGGGTTTCACCACTTGCGCATGTGCAGACACGCAAAATTATGTCATGCGTATGTGCAGAAGCGGCGAATCGTGACCTGTGCGTGTGCAGACTCGCCACTGAGGGTTGCGTTCTATTCATGTTGCGAACGGGCCTCCGGAACAGATCCAGTTCTGCAACCAGAGGTACCACTGTACATAGTTTTGCAATCTCAATAATATTTTAGGGTTGTTCTGTTTTCCTCTGCTTTTTAAAATGTTTTATATTTCCCCCCTTTTTCTTCTTCTTCTTCCCTTTAATTCACTGTAATACACACACATACAAATATATATGTAACATTGAATTAAAGTAAAAAAGAATAAATAGTAAATATATGAGAAATATTTTGGGAGGGGAGTGCCAAAGTTTACCCTTGCTCAGGGCTCCGTATTACTAAAGTCCGCCCCAGTAGGTACCTGTTTTCACAACCTGTAAGAGTAGATAGGTAGGGAAAAGCAAATATGCAACCCTTTACCTCGTCTTGTGAGGTCTTCCTCTCTCAGGCATCCCGGCTGATGTCCGACGGTTCACCGTCGAATACTCCGGATCCAGTTCGTACCCCTCGTCGTCAACCCCGAGGCTGCGGTTATCATCCTCAAGCCCGTATGGCTCCGGCTGGAATCGTTCTGGCTGGGAGCGGTTCAGGTCTGCGTTGCTCCCTGTCGGGACCTGGGGCTGGGGTAGTGGACCGTAGTTATCCCTTCTGCTTGGCAATGTGAAGCTACCGTCCTCTGGCCGGTAACTGTTCCCGGGGACGTAGCCGTAGCGTGGGCGGTAATTGACGCCCCGGGACAAGCTACCGTAGTTATCAGGCAGCTCCCCGTAACCGTCGTGACCCATGAACGGGCGGTACTGGCTGTCGTGACCATCGGGATAGGAGTCGTAGCTGTTGTAAGAGCGGGTCAAGGTGGAAGAAGCTTGCGGCGTGATGTACCGCTCCCCATTCTTCATGTGCCTCCTGTCTATGGAGTCAGTGTAGCTGCCCATGGGAGATGATCCGTCCATCACAGGGAGCCCATCAGGCCCAACGGGGACCTGCCGGACAGTTCTGGTTGTGACCGTTTTGACCATTTTCGTCACCTGAGAAACAGAGAGGAAAGATAGAGCCATGAATGTTTTCCCGAACACCATCAATTGGGCCCACTTTTGAAATCATTTTCACAGTGCGCCAGATGACACAAAGAAGAAGAGTTTGGATTTGATATCCCGCTTTATCACTACCCGAAGGCGTCTCAAAGCGGCTAACATTCTCCTTTCCCTTCCTCCCCCACAACAAAGACTCTGTGAGGTGAGTGGGGATGAGAGACTTCAGAGAAGTGTGACTAGCCCAAGGTCACCCAGCAACTGCATGTGGAGGAACGGGGAAGTGAACCCCGTTCACCAGATTACAAGTCTACCGCATTTAACCACTACACCACACTGACAAAGCACATCCACCTGGCAGCTGCAGGTAACCCTCCACCTTATTGGAGGGGCCATAGCTCAGAGGAAGATGTAGCTCAGTCGGTAGAGCATGAGGCTGCACCTCTATCTCGGGGTTGTGGGTTTGAGCCCCACATTGGGGAGAAGATTCCTGCAATGAATGGGGTTAGACTAGATAGCCCACACGGTCCCTTCCAAATCTACAATTTTATGATTCTGTGTAGACGATCCTCAGCTAGATGGTCTGACTCTGTATAAGATAGCTTCCTACATCCCCATCAAAAACCAGTTTGTCCAGTTCACAGTTTGATTTAAATTCATCCAAATGATCTTCAGCAATTCCCCACCCAGCATCCAGAATGTTACAAGCTGCTGTGCCAGTATAAAATATAAGGTAAAGGGACCCCTGACCATTAGGTCCAGTCATGGCCATCTCTGGGGTTGCGGCGCTCATCTTGCTTTATTGGCCGAGGGAGCCAGCGTACAGCTTCCGGGTCATGTGGTCAGCATGACTAAGCCACTTCTGGCGAACCAGAGCAGCGCACGGAAACACCGTTTACCTTCCCGCCGGAGCAGTACCTATTTATCTACTTGCACTTTGATGTGCTTTTAAACTGCTAGTTTGGCAGGAGCTGGGGCAGAGCAACAGGAGCTCACCCCGTCGCGGGGATTCGAACCGCCGACCTTCTGATCGGCAAGCCCTAGGCTCTGTGGTTTAACCCACAGCGCCACCCGTGTCCCTGTATAAAATATACTTAAGTATAAAAAGTACTTAAGAAGACTAAGAAAACACCAACACATTGTTACTGCAATGTGAATTCTTGATTTCCCCAGAAAATTATGATTCTTAAGCTTAAACACCTAGACTGTCTAAATAATAAATGAAAAGAAACACCCACCACATGTAAGGGAAGGAACTTGTAGACCAGGCTTCCTCAGACTCGGCCCTCCACATGTTTTGAGACTACAATTCCCATCATCCATGACCACTGGGCCTGCTAGCTAGGGATCATGGGAGTTGTAGGCCAATAACATCTGGAGGGACGAGGTTGAGGAAGCCTGTTGCAGACGAACTCAAAATCATTCAAAGTTCACCCCAAAATGAATTAAATTCATGCAAAGTTCACCTGGCTGTTATGGGAATTACTCTCAGGGGTAGGTCAAATGGTTTAGAATGAATTCTGTGGTCTTCATTAAACTAGTTCGTTTCAAGTGAATGAAACCCCCTGAGCGTCACCATTTTGCTCCATTCACAGTCCCTCTAGCTCCTCCCATTTAGAACACTCACATTCTTTCTTTTCCTCTGGAGTAAGGATAAAGGAGTCAGCTGTGTGTCATCTAGCCTGGTGACAGCACCCTTCCTTTCTGAACTGTATTTAAGCCAGGCTCCTTTGGGTGCAGGACGGCCAGAAACCTAACTCTTACTTTGCTTTGTATTCATGTATTTAAACCTAGATTGCCGTGGTTTTTGTCTGTAATGTTGAATTTATTCTGCGTTTGTTAATTTGTTGAATTTGCTGACACGCTCTGAAAATTGCTATATTTGTATTCTGATGTTTTGAATGTTTGCTCTAAGCAGCTCATCGTGGGAAAGCAACATCTAAGTAAACCGTAGCAAAGCCATCAACAAAACTCCCCCCACATTTTAAGATCACCGGAGCACCTAAAAGCGAAGGCCACCAGGAATCACATAATGTAACATTTTCCTGTGGACATCTATTACTCACCCAATGCCCCTTTAAGACTCAACCATTTCACAGTGGTGTAACACAGCAGGGCAGGGAGGAACGGACTTTAATATTGGTGCAGATAATTTGCTTCTAGGGCACGCCACGGCCGCGTCCTATTTACTGCCAAAAGCAATTTCTGTAGTCGCCGTGAGTCAAATTTGTTGATTTCATGCACCGGAGTTCAAGACCCATCTCTTTTATTTATTTTTAAACAGGCCTGTTAGCAAATTTATCAAGGATGGCAAAGGTGGTTCACAGCAGAATATTCAGTACAGTCCACGCACACCAATGACATGGGCAGTCACCTAATAAAGATGGCAGGCTATCGTTCTGTCTCTGTGTCGGGGTTGGAGACCTTTGCTCAAACAGAGACTAACATGCATGCATAAACAACAGCCGGGTGCAGAGATACATGCAGAGTATCTGCCTTGCATGAACATACCCTCAAACATTTAACCGATGAAAATGGGGACGGGGTATAAATATATTATATTGTTGTTGTTGACGGGGGTATAAATATATTATGTTGTTGTTGTTGTTGTTGTTGTTGTTGTTGTTGTTGTTGTTGTTGTTATTTTCTTTCGGCACATGTTACCGGACTGAAGAATCGCATTACAAAATTCAGAGCAGTGCAAATTTCACAGGATGGCTGCGTCTCTGTTCATGTATTGTTTCAGGAACCCTTCATTGTGAACTGAGCCAACTTTCTTCCCCAGCCCTAGTTATGACTCAATTGAGACTACCTGTTTGGAGACAAGCAGCAGCAGAAGACATAATTATAAAAGCTGATCTATCCCAAGGGCAATCTTGTGTGTCTCCTGCCTTCATGTCTCCAGTAGAGATTGGCTTAGAACACAAGACAAGCCCTGCTGGATGAGGCCAATGGTCCATCTAGTCCAGGATCCTGATCTTACGGTGACCAACCAGATACCTATGAGAAGCTGCAAGCAGGGTCTAAGAGCAACAGGAATTCTCCCCATTTGGTATCCCTAAGTAAAGGTAAAGGGACCCCTGACCATTAGGTCCAGTCGTGGCCTACTCTGGGGTTGCGGCGCTTATCTCGCTTTATTGGCCGAGGGAGCCGGCGTACAGCTTCCAGGTCATGTGGCCAGCATGACTAAGCCGCTTCTGGCGAACCAGAGCAGCGCACGAAAACATCGTTTAACTTCCCGCTGGAGCGTTACCTATTTATCTACTTGCACTTGATGTGCTTTCGAACTGCTAGGTTGGAAGGAGTAGGGACTGAGCAACGGGAGCTCACCCCGTTGCGGGGATTCGAACCGCCGACCTTCTGATCAGCAAGTCCTAGGCTCTGTGGTTTAACCCACAGCTCCGCCCGCGTCCCTTCTGGTATCCCTAGAAAGTGGTAATTGGAAGCATATCTCCTGCAACAGTGGCCACAGAGCATAACTGGAATAGGATCCAGAATGCAGCCGTCTGATTGGTCCTACAACAATAGGATTCACAATGAGGCAGTCTGATTGGCCTAGAAAAACAGGATACAGAATGCAGCAGTCTGATTGGTCCACAGGAGCCACCCAATCCAGGTCCAGGTAGAATTGAATCCGCAACCTGATTGACCTACAGGAGAATCCCGGAATTAGCCAATCACATGGGGCCCGTTGTGTAAATAATGTATATAAAGCACACAGTTCTGGGAAACTTCCATTCCTCACTAAAGGTAAAGATAAAGGTACCCCTGCCCGTACGGGCCAGTCGTGTCCGACTCTAGGGTTGTGCGCCCATCTCACTTAAGAGGCCGGGGGCCAGCACTGTCCGGAGACACTTCCGGGTCACGTGGCCAGCGTGACGAAGCTGCTCTGGCGAGCCAGCACCAGCGCAGCACACGGAAACGCCATTTACCTTCCCGCTATAAAGCGGTACCTATTTATCTACTTGCACTTAGGGGTGCTTTCAAACTGCTAGGTGGGCAGGAGCTGGGACCGAAAGACAGGAGCTCACCCCGCTGCGGGGATTCGAACCATCGACCTTCTGATCGGCAAGCCCTAGGCGCTGAGGTTTTACCCACAGCGCCACCCGCGTCTCCCATTCCTCACTACTATGAGCTGAATAAAGAGCATGAAATCCACACTCGACTCCAAGTATATTTCAATAACCATCATGGCTAGTAGCCATGGATGACCTAATCCTTCACAATTTCGTCCAAGTTGGTGGACACCAGTACTTCTCGTGGGAGCAAATTCCATAGTTCAAATATGTGCTGTGTGAAGAAGCAATTTCTCTCGCCTGTCCCGAAGCGTCCAACATTCAGTTTCCTTGGCTTGAGTCTCAAAGTAGCTTTTTTTACTCCTCAACTACAAAACGTTTCATTGTCCCACCCAGGGTGGGAGTAGAAAATTCCACAGGGCTTTACAGTAGCAATAACAAATACTTTTTTATTTTTATTTTTTTACCGCACAATACTTAGCCACTATCCATGCTGGAGGTTTGTCCATAAAAGGAGCAAAACACAGCTATTTTAATTTCTTCTCCATTTGAGGGATTATACTAGCTTCCACGAGCCGAGAAGAAGCCAACAATCTTGAAAAAGGAGATTAAATGCTCTTTTATGAGCTTGCACCCCCTCCCTTTGACAAACGACAGCTTTACAAATCAACATGCATTTGAAAACGCAACGAGCGTCGGTCCATCTGCAGTCCGCATCTTAAGATCAGTGCTCAGCTGGTAAATCTGCGCATGGTGTGCTCAGTGGTTCGGAAGTTGAAAGCGAAGGGGAGGGTGGGAGAGGCATTTGTGACCTAAAGCGACTGATTAAAAAAATATCGATCAGGCAACAGATTAGCCAAGTCGCGGCGGGCGAATGAAAAAAAAAATTACAAACATGAAATAATTAGAGCGTGCTGTTTTTAGAGCAAGCTACAAAACATATGTCCTCGGCTCCCGTATTGTGTTGACAGAGGAACAAGC